GAGAGAGAATGAGAAGGTCCACAAATATCTGTATGAATGAGGTCAAGGAGACCTTCACTCCTGAAATGCTATTAATCCTAGGACGCTTTTTACCAGAAGAAAATGAATTCACAGACATACAGAGAGGGGAAAGAAGAGATGCATCCAGATTTAATCTATAAAGACCGTCAATTAAGAAACCATGTCTGATAACATCCAAACCATTTTTGATAGAAACAAAATTATTCTCAAAAACAAAACTATAACCAGATTCAGAAAATCTAGAAACTAAAATAAAATTCATTCTCATAGGAGGTACATAGAAAGTGTCTGATAAAACTAAGGAAACTCCAGAATCCAAGCGCAGACTGAAAGTCCCAAGGAGCTCCACCTCCAAAAGCTGTGAGTTTCCCAAAAGCAGTTGTTCATTTGTCCTTGCCTTCCGAGTGTGGATTATTCCCTCCCTTCTTCTTCAGCCACTGCTTATACTTCAGACAATCTCTCTTCATATGACCAGGTTTCTTGCAGAAGAAACATTCAACTTTTTCACTTGCTGAAGAAGTGCTAGAAATAGTTGAAAGATTACCGAAAGACTTCTTCCCCTTATTGTGCCCTTGATACTTGAAGGATTTCTTTCCTGCCAGCTTTTCCTGTTTTTAGCCGCTCTTCCTCAGCAACACATACAGCAATAAGCTCATTCAAGTCCCATTTTCTGTCTTGAGAACTGTAGTTCACCTTAAAAGTGTCAAATTTGCTTGGTAGAGAAGCGACTGCAAAATGAACCATTAGATCATCCTCTAATTGAAGTCTCAACTCCCTGAGACGAATGATCAACTGAGAGACCTTCAAAATGTGCTGCCGAACATCACCACTTCCATCATATTTCAGATTAATGAGTTTGAACAGATAATTGTACTGTCTCGCTCTAACGGATCCCTCAAACTGCTTCTTGATGGTCTCAAGCAACTCCTTAGCAGTTTCACAAGCCGGAATCCCTCCACGAATAGTCTGGTCCACCGATGCTCTAATGATCAGCATTGCAAGCTTGTTGGCTTTTGACCCACTTAGCATGAGATTTCTTTTCAGATTGACTTGATGACTCATCAGGCTCTTCTGGCTTATCTTCAGTGAGAACATAGTCGTAGTCAAGACACCCAAGTACTATTTCAACTTTCATCTTTCAGTTGCCATAGTTGGAACCAGTAAGGGGCTCAATCCCAGTCAGATGCTTCTGGATAAACTGTCCGTCCATCTGCATTACACCATGGACGTATAAATCAAATGAGACCTTCAATTTTATTAACTTTAATATTTCCACATCCAATTTAGGGTTAGAATGGATGAGTTAGAGTGTTTTACGTATGCAACCTTTCACTCTATGGGACAGGTGGGTGCATCATCTCATCACACCTTTGGGCAAGTGATTTGATATGCTATTCGCCCCCCAAATGTGATATATATAATCACCTACAGAACTAGCCTACACAATGTCAGTTTGATTTGAACACTTCCTAACCTTTGGGCAATAGGGTTATTCTCCTCTTACTGACATGTTTCAACTATCCTGCACCACTTATCCTGTAGGAGATTTCCTAGACACCTTTGGGCAAGACTAGTAGTCCACCCACAGATAAGTGCAACCTACCAGTCCAAATGAAACTAAACTCAACCTTAGAAAATTAGGGTATTATAGGTTGGTCACATTTGGGCAAGACACTAACCTACTCTACCATAATTTCTAAGTGACTGTTTTACTGATCTTCCTTAACCCCATAGGTTGATCTAATACTATAATCCGTTTTATCATGAACCCAAATATTTACCCCACCTGAATTAAGGATATAATTAGGGTAAATCAATTATCTTTATGTGCATACAATAATCTTTATGAATTGTCCAAATTCCTGTATTAAAACTTTATAAAATGAAAATAAAAAACTATGTAGTTGAAAAGTACACAGAATGATCTTTCCAACGACTATTTATGGGCTCAAATCGGACTTAAAACGGATCTGTAACGACCAAAACAAAATGAGTGATCTAAACTGTAATGGGTCGGGTCTGGAAATTAATGGGCTGACCTATTTCATAATGGGTTGGGTCAGAATTTTAATGGATCTAATCCATTATTGTAACGGGTCGGGTCCAATACATACTGGATCGGGTCTTCCTTAATGGGTTATAGAGATATATAACTAAAATAAATAAATAATAGTTAATTATACTAATTAATCTAATTATTTATTTAATTAAATTAATTAATTAATTATAACCCTAATTAAAACCCTAACCCTAATCCCACCCGACCAAGAGGCTGCCGCCAGCACCCAATCTCCCACAGAACCCGCCGCCGGCCGCATTCCCGCCGCCGGCGCCATACTTCTGCGATGCCATGGCCTTTGGAGCAGCCACGAGGAACAGGCATGACCACATGGGTTCAAACTCCAGCCATAGCCGTTGGAGGCATGAAAAAAAAAAAAAAAAACATCTTGAGTTCTGATTTGCATCTGGCCATGGCGTTCACAATGAAAAACAGTTATATATATATATATGATGGGGCATCCTTAATTACATATGGAGATGCAGTTTGGATAATCCAAAAATCCTTTGATGGCGCGGAGCAGCCATGGTTGATGCGGCATTAAAAAAAATTGTAAACTCAAAGATGGCCCCTTTTTTTTATTTAACTTCGCTGTGGCCATGAGATCTTCGGAGATAAGATTGAATTAAACAAGTAATCAATTGAAAGAAAACACGCTGAATCCTTTTTTTTTCTTTTTTTTTAACGTTGATCTATTTCCAGCGTTTGACGGCAAACAAAAACGCAGATTCAAAACGTTGATATTTTTTTTTAAATTAATCCGAAAAAACTTTAATTCTAGATCAAAGATTCATGCACAACCAGTCTCTGATACCACTGTTGGAAAAATCTAATTATCTAGACATGAATAATTGAACTAGAAATTCAGATTAAAGTTACCGTTCACCGACGAAAATAATGGAAGTCTTCTCCTCTCTCCTCCCGTAGCCAATGATGGGAATTAGGTCTCTTTTCTGCATACGGTTGAGAGGAGAGACTCCCACCCTTTAAATAGATATTTGTGATTAACCCTACCCATCATGGTTTAATCACAACCGTGGGATTACACTCCGATTAATCCTATCCTTTAGATATTCAAGATAACCACCCAACTTGATAAACATGAAACTTATCTAACCAGACCATGTGGTTAGCATCCTGATCCTAACTTGAATCGATGGCAACTTTAAATCAAATCCAAAATCGAGTAGGTTGGGCCACATGGGTTCGTTGGATTAATCGAACCCAACAGGTCAAAGTACCTTGAATGCGATCATAAGATCATAGTGAAATAGAAGCGGGATTCATGGCAGTCGATCTCCCATAACTACGAGAAATCTTTAAATGCTTAGATGCTGATGAACTTGTAAAAATTGAAGAAAATTACCGTAAAATAAAAAGGGAAAAAAAGAGAGGGATATTTTTTTAATGCTAAGTTTGCTAACAGATGAAAACGAGCACAAGACGGAGAAGAGATTAGACTTGTTGAAAAAGCCATCCAGATTTAGGGAGTTTGCAGATTGTGGAAATTGGGGGAGCAGGAACAAAAAGTTTGCAGTTTTTGGGGAGGGGTGAATTTTTGCAACGGGATATGATTTCAAGGTACTAAAAAAACATGCATGCATGGCAAGTAGACAAAGTGGCTTATTACTTACTTTAACATGTTAAGCAAATAGCTTATTTTTGAATTTTGCAACGGGATATGATTTCAAGGTACTAAAAAAGCATGTATGGCAAGTAGACAAAGTGGCTTATTACTCACTTTAACATGTTAAGCAAACAGCTTAATTTGGCTTATAGGCCACCAAAAATAAGCTGGGCTACCCTAGATTATTTTTTGCGGCTTATAAGCCACAATGGTTGGCCAAGTAAAAGTCTAATATGACCCTCATCATTTTAGAAAATTTCAAACTCCGTTTATCTCTCTCTCTCTCCAACTGCATTAAATGTTTTTTGGCCATTTTGACAACAATGATAGCTCATAACCTAAACCTTTTCCAAACACTTTACTATTAAAAATAAACTATAATCCATTAAATTTACCAAACACTTTGGCTTATAATTCACTTAGCTTATAATCTATCTGTAGATTATAAGCCAATTAGATTATAATCTAAAATTGCCACACATGCTCTAATTTGAGCCCAACATATATGGGCCTACGAGCCAAAAATAAAGTTGGGCTTTTGATTGCCATGATATTTTATAATGTAACCATTTGGTGCATACGCATGTTGTCTTCTTGTTGGCACTGTTATAAATAGCGGTAAATAGCCCTGCAATAGCGGCGCCACTAGCGTTAACGGTCCCTTCCCGCTACGCTACGCTGTCACCCAATAACGATGACATATTGTGGAATATGCGTTTTTCGCTTGTAAAAGCAGCCAATAGCGCACCATAGCAATGAGTAGCGGACGATTGCGGGCAAAATCCGTTTTTTTATCGCTATTTACAAGCGGTTTGAAATTTATTTTTTTAAGTTAAACCCAACCAGCAACAACTACATCCTACCGCCTCCCTCGCTTTTTGGGATACTCCTGCCGCCTCTCATAGCCTCTGGCACCTCCCTCAGCACTTCCTCTCACCTTCTCTCGCTATGAGCTCCTCCTAGTGCAGTCCTCTCACCGCTTAGCTCATCTTCTTGAAGATGACAACTCTTTGACTTCTCCAGTTGTCTTCGGTATTATGTGACAGTTACATGTCTATTTCATGTTTACAATCTCTTTAAATCATCAAATGTACTTTTATATTTTCTAAACTTTTTTATAATTTTTTTTAATATTAATACATATCTAAATTAGGCCGTTATTTGACTTTGCGTTTTTTACTGCTATTTTGTCGCAATAGCTCCAAATAGCATTAACAACGCTTCACCGCTACACAACGCTATCCGCTATCGATAACCTTGCTTGTTGGTTTGATAAATTTTTGCAATGGTTTTATTTTTAATTTTGACTGTAACAGAATAAGGACTGTTGGAGTAAAAATAAACTTGGCCATTAAATGTTTAATACTTAAAAAACAATTTTAAGTTGTTACAGACTTACAGTACGCTCACAGTTTTGGGGAACCAAATAATTCAATAAAAAAACAAAAAATTCCAAATAAATGGAATAATGCATCTAGTTTACTACTGACCAAAAAATAGAAGAATAAAATCTGCAGCATGATTTCCCAGATCATTCCGAAAATACTTGGATTTTTCAAACTAGAAACATCCAAAATTATACCCAACACTGATAGATTTGACACCCTTGGACACCTCATCACCTGACACAAAAACTAAAAAATAATTACAACCTTATGCAAATAAGACAAGTTTTTTTAACAGTAATATAATTTAGGGTCAGCAACTACCAAATGAAAATACAAAGACAGAGAGAAGACCCTACACTCCTACAGCACAACGCGAGGAGCAAACAATGGAAGCAACAATTTTACCTGTCAGTTTGTTGAGCCGTGAGTGGGACGCTCTGCTACATGTATTGCCAAGACTTCTTTAAAGTCCACAGGCCAGACCTAGTTTTTAGTCAAAAGGATAACAAAGACTATTAAAGATAATTACAAGATCTGAAACTTAAGAACTGAATAAATTAAAGCAGGGATTAGTTTATCCCTCAATTACCATCACTCTACGAAACCACCATATAATCATAGAAATTGATCGCATCTACAAATAAACATGACAAAACCATGAGTAATTCAACAATTTGTACGGTTATTAACAAAGTGATTTGGCAAATAGCAATTGAGATTAGTATGTTTCACTCAAAAATACCCACGCTGGGATCATCTAAAAATAATTGAACTTCAAGTCATTATAAATTGAACTTCGAGGGAAATGAAAACCTTCAGCAAGCAGAAGACTTAATTTTGAGGCATGTCAAGTGTATAGTAATCAAAATTAGTGCACCTGTGTGTAGTAGTAAAAATTAGTGCGACAAAGGTGATGGAACTGCAGGTCCAATGCCTGAGCCCTAGTAATATCATGATCGTTCTAAAAAAATCATACTAAATTATGAATCAACAATATTTTTCTCACGTTCCAAATTTTATTCATCGGTGTATCATGCACCAAAGATGCATATGGCAAGTAATATTTCAAATTATTATCAATTATTGCTTTTGAAGCAAAATCCATAGGATGTATTCAGCCATATAATGGCATGTCCATGTTCCTTGTCATAGAGCCGCTAAAAGGCACAAATTTCAAAAAAAATATATATATACATCCACATTTATGTTTTTTTCCATTTTTTACCACATTATTCCCCCTCCCCGCGCCTTTGGAAAGAACAATTTTCCAGCATATCAGTTATATACGCTTCAACTTCATGCCATGTATACCAGTCTATTCTGTCTCTTGGTACAATCCGCAAAATTCAAGAAACAGCAACTGACAAATATGTAGTTATTGGCTCTTCTATGTTTTTTTTAATTCTTTTCTTTTCTTTTCTTTTCTACCTCAAGAAATACTAGTTGGAAACAAGAATATGGAAATGTTAGCTTGTTATAGGAATAAATGGTGATGTTGGCTTGTTAATCACACTGTTGCCAAGCATCCCATTAGGATTGGAGGAGCTCCTAGTTCAAACCAGTAATATGGAGAAATTCATCCATGAACCGAGCTCCTCCAATTCTTATGGGATACTCGATAATTGTTGATTAACAAGCCACATAATCATTTATTTCCATCTCAAAGCTTATAGTGATCCAAGTGTCTCCCCTGTGAAAAAATATGCTCCTGAAGAAATATGTAGAAGGTCTTCATAGTATGAGAAATTACTTTTAACATTTTCAAGAAGTTATCTAATTGCTTTTTATCTCCCGATGTATATGTATATTATGCAGAAGAAGAAGCTTACTCGTCACGAGATGGTGATCGACAATGATGATTTGATCATTTCAACTGCAAAAAATTATACTCATGAAGTATATGAGTCTATTTAGAATTATTTCCAAAATTTTCATGGTACTTCTAGTTAATTTGGGCTGTCTACCGCCTGTAAATGTCAAATGAGAAATGAATTGATTGAGTTTTATTTCCCCTTCTCAAGGACGTTTTATTTATGGGTTAATAGCATACTGGTTCCTTAAATCATCTTTAATTGCCAAATAGTCCCTCCAATCTCATTATTTGCTTATTAGTCCCTTAAATCTTCAGTTTTCTTGCCAATCTGTCCCTCATACTAGGTGATGTTGTAATTGACCCTTAAATATGACGGAATTAGGTAGAATATCCATTATAACCCCACCTATACTAGCTCAAACCCACATTCTTTCTTCTCCATTGGTCCCATGCTTCCACCAGACCCAAAATTGGGTCACTCCCATAACTAGCTTCCCTCTAAACGCATAACTCTAGAGGGAATCGTATGTCCTAGGGGCAATAAGGTAACTTTAGTTGTTGGGTTAAGCATTAACTCAACTAGAGCTAGAGAAGTTAACATTTTTCTCAGAAGGACCGTATGGCAAGAAAATTGAAGATTTAAGGGACTAATAAGCAAATAATGAGATTTGAGGGACTATTTGGCAACTAGAGATGATTTAAGGGACTAATATTCAATTCCCCTTTATTTTATTTGTCAATTATAGATGGGGGTTTGTTGGGAAAGTTCAAACTTCAAGGGGGTTTTGTGAGATCCCAGAGTTCAGGGGATTTTGTGCAATCAAAAAGCTTAGGGGCTATCTGAAAAGTATCCCAAAGTTTTGGGGCTCTCTACGAAATTTTAATTAAGCAGTTTGGAACTTTTTTAGCTTGATAACATCATTCTTATGTCACCAATCATTTAAGCAAGATAATGGAATTACCTATCATAAAAGCTATAAAGTTTATCGCAGGTATCATTGTATTGTGTTCGGTCGTCCAAAAAAAAAAAAAACTTTTAGCTTGTTACAAAACTGCCTGATGATATAAGACATGTCTTTTTCTACTCGTCTCATGATCGAATATGAATATGATTCAGTCATTAAATACATTCAAATTTGGACGATTCCTGATGATAAAAAAATAATTTAAAAATTCAATCTAGGGTTAGGGTTTGTAGAAGGACGAGGTAACCTGAGTGCGATCGCAGGATCCACGGTGAACAGAAGCGCATTGCTCACGATCAACCATTAATTAACTATGAGGAATCTTGAATGCCATGTAGCCTCTGATGAACCTGCACAAATTGCAGAAAATTAATTTGAAATAAAAGGGGGGAGAAAGAGAGAGAAAGAAAAAAAAAGAAATTGAACGTAAGTTCACGCGCGAGAGCGAGCAAATGAGAAGGGATCCGGAGCTGCGATAGAGAGGAGAAAGATTAGATTTTGATTATGATTGTGGAAATTGGGAGCGGGGAAAAAAAAATAAGTTTGCAGTTTTTGAGGAGGGATAAAAATTTTGCCATTTCTGATTTACTAATTTCGAGCTCAGCATATGAAACTTGACCCAGCTTTTTAGTTGCCCAGGACCTTTTTCAATGGCGTGGGACAGAGCCCAACCAGGCCCACTCCGTTCAAAACGCAACTGGGCCTCTTGTTAGTGCAATTAGAAAAACAAAATAAGAACCAAATCGAAATAGCGCGAGACGTGTGATCTCAGTGTTGATAAGATTTCAGTCTTCTATGTATATAATAATAATAAACTTTGCTAAATAAATTATGCTTGTTGAAAAGCTTAGCATTGTTTTAGGAATATACGTAGTATCAGCATGGCTTTTTTTTAAGTAGTGCCTGCTCAATTGCATGATCATGATTCATGAATGAAGACATAGAAACCTTTGCAAAATTTATTCACGACTCATAAAATTCTTCTTCAAAGATGGAAAGATATCACCACAAAATCTGATACGAGTACGACGTATACAGTACATAGATTCCATACTCTTTCTTCGAATTAAAAAAACACCAGACACTTGAGCGTATACTTGTCACATTTTCGTCGTGTAACCATCTTTATATACATTTTTCTTCCATTTTGAGCTATTTTTTTCACTGTAAACCAGTCTAACACGAAAAGCCGCCAAAAAATGGAGTAGCGTATATATATGGCGGTTAATTTCAAATAGGTAGCGTATATTGAGTATATCGCAGTTAATTTAGATTCATGTTATATACCGCTGCGATACTCTTGATCAAAGTACCTCTATATACAGGTACAAAATAAAGGAAGTTGACGATGGTCTGCGAATCGAGAACAATGAAAGCTTAGATCAAATTGACACATCTTACATCAAGCATATTTATGTCTCGGTTATTCTTTGCTCTACATGCACTGTGAAGATTACAGCAGGCGTAGATTTGGCCCTATATCAGCAGTCACAAACATGATCGTAATTTTTTTGTTGTCGTCGTGGTGGTGGTGGTGGTGGTGAGCGGTCTTGACTCGTACCAGCCAAGTAAACCCCGGGGCCTCCGGCCCCCTTCACGTTACAAAACTGACTTGGAAACTACAATTTTTTTTCTTCTTCAGAATGGTGTTACCAATTGCATCTGGGGTAGCCCTTGACCAATTCTCGCAGTAAATTTGGCAAAAATACGAGATGATTCTCATACAACAAATACAAAGTAGTAAAAAGTCCAGAGAGCATTGGCAACATCAAGAGCAGTAAGGAAGTCAGAGGTTCATGAACTGAATATTAAAGTCCTGCAATGTCATCCTACCCTCATAAACCTCAAGGATCTCAGGAGCTCGTTCGGCATACTTGGCCAAATACTGCGCTAAGAATCTCTCGGTCTTCACCTTCAAGAAACTGATCTGCCCCAATTCTCTTGTTAGCAACCCCTTAGATACTAGCACGCTCAGAACCGAACACCTCGGTAAGATCCTCCTCTCAAAGCTCAAACACAGAAGAACTGGTTTCGTCGCCAACAATGAAGGCGAGCAGCTCATTTCCTTCGTAAAGAAGCCCGCCACTTTCCTCATCTTCTCCTCCGATAGTGACATACAAAAAGGTTGTTTTCTGAAGGCGGAGACGATCTCTTCGGCTGACCATCCCAGACTCTTATACAAAGCCACCTTCTTCTCCCAAGCACAGGGCTCCAACCCTCCCAGTGCACTAACACCTTGAACAAACAAGGTCGACGATGGGTCAAATCCAAATTTCGCGATGGACGCGACCACCGTCCCGAATTTCTCGGCTGGCAGCATCAGCGTCCTCGGATACCAGGCTGCTAAAAATGTGATCTTTTCATCAGGGACTTCATAAGATCGAAGGGTTTTCACATTGGGCAGGAAATTGGTCTCAAGATTGTTGCTCATCAGCCTAGAGTTGCGGCGAAAAGCCGCGTATGTTCGCTGGACATCGCCAATTACGGAACTCAGAAGCTCGAAATTGGGCTTCAGTCTGTTGGGCAGGCTCGACCTGAGCAAACTTGTGTCGAGGCAGAGGAGTTCTGCGAGTTGAGCTGTCGAAAACCCAGCATTGAGAAAATAGCTGAGCTTTGGCTTCAGGGTTTTTTCGACCCTGGACATGAGAATGCTTGGGCGCTTGGAGATGAGTCTGGCGATCTGGGTGCTTGTTAAACCGAAGGATTTGAGGAAACTAAGGATGGAATCGGGGTTTTGGGGGGTTTTGATGCAGATCTGGCCGGCGGCGGCGGCGGCAGATTTAGAGGAGAGGCCGCATGAGTTTATGAGGTAGGAGACCGTGAACGATGATTGATCCTTAATGGGTTCCTCTGGTTCCTCTGATTGAGATTTGGGGATCCCATTGTGGAGAAAACGGAGGTGGGTTGATAAAAGATTTGATCTTTGACTAAGGATGGAATCGGGGTTTTGGGGGGTTTTGATGCAGATCTGGCCGGCGGCGGCGGCGGCAGATTTAGAGGAGAGGCCGCATGAGTTTATGAGGTAGGAGACCGTGAACGATGATTGATCCTTAATGGGTTCCTCTGGTTCCTCTGATTGAGATTTGGGGATCCCATTGTGGAGAAAACGGAGGTGGGTTGATAAAAGATTTGATCTTTGTTCAGTGAACAATAACAGTTTGATGGGATTTTTGTTTCTACTACTAAGAATTGAACGAAACATTTTGAAGCATTCATAAAAAAGAGAGAGAGAGGGAGAGAGGAAATGAGCTTTACTTACCGCCGGCGGCAGCCATGGCCAGAACTTGAAGAAGAAATGGGGTTTCTTTCTATTTCCGGATTTGATGAAGAAACCCCAGCTTCGGTTTGAAGATGGAGAGAAGTGAACGAGGTAAAGTTTGCTCTTTTTTTCAGAATTGGGCCTGTTCGGATCCAAGTTTAGTTGGGCTTTAGAGGCCCATACATTTAAGCAAGAAAACTGAGTTGTCTGATAAATACACGACTGCTTACATGCTAAAGTTTAAATTTGTTACGCTAGATTCCAATAAAAAAAATCAGCATTTTGTGGTAAACCCCCAATAACTTATTAAATCGCACTAAATCTCTTTTAACTATTAGAATTGCAAAAAACTTCCAATAAGTATCCGTGTTTTGTAGTTAACCCCCACGACGACATCAGTCCATATTTAACATCTAAATGTGTCGCCAATGCAAAATTGGGACTGACACCATCATAGAGGCAATATGTGAAATGTGAAAACTTATTAGAGATTTTCTGCAATTCCAATCGTTATTAAGAGTTTAGTGCGATTTTAGAAGTTATTGGGATTCACTGCAAAATGCTCTGAGAGTTATTGGGGATTTAGTATAATTTATCCTTTAAAGATGATGACTATCACAGATATCCTATCACAAAAGGTCTCTGATATGAAGAATTTTACGTTGTTGAATATAAACTTCTCGTTGGTTTTAGAAGAAGTGACTCAAAAATAATTTGTTGTCCAACCTTTGTACATGAAGAATCATGTTCGACAAAATAGAGAGTTAATCATATAATTATAGTATTATTAAAAATCTTCATGAGCAGGAACAGATCCAGATAATTTTTCCTATAGGAGCACTTGTACAGTTATAAATATGAGTTAACATCTTATATAATATCTATCAATAAAGAAACTTATTTATATATAATAATTATAAAATCTCAATACATAAAATATTTCATTATTATTTTTACCAAACTATACCAACTGACAATAATAGTCTTTTAAATTGTTGTCCATGTAAGGGCACAAATAGTTCATGGGGCATCAATTATAAAATTTAAGATAAATCCTAAAGTTTTTTTTTATAATAGTCATTTAAAGTTTTTTTTTCTAAGAGGGGGTTATTTGTTGAGGATTATTAGTTCGGATTCCTACTTTTATCGAATTTTGATTCAAGGTGTTATTCGTTTAAGATTAAAATACGGATATAAATTCAAGGTTTTATTCAATTAGGACCTGTGATTTGGATCTAAATATAACGTGTTATTCGTTTAGAACTAAATTCAAATATAATGTGTTATTCGGTTAGGACTTAGGATTTTGGGTAAGGTGTTATCGAATTTTCCTACAGTTTGTCAAGAACTGCAATGCAATCCTGAAATAAATTATAATAAAAGTTTATGGAAACTTGTTATTTTTTTTATTACTTAATTTGAATACAAACATTATTTACACTTGACAATTACCTTTTTTAAATTATAATAAAAAAGGTTGGTATATATGTTTTGAGTTTCTTACACGATACAAGACATTTTCATTTTCTCAAATGTGTTGGTGCTAAAATTATGCTGATGGTGAGCTGATTATTTGGTAATGGAAATTAGTGATATAGCATGGTGACGATCACGGTGAAACATGGAGGGAAATTTGCAGAAACAACTGAATATTTACAAAAGAACTGACAAAAAGTGCCAGCATGAATCTGTTATTGTTCAGGCTACAGCAAGCATACCGCTTATTCAGAGACAATACTATTAAAAACGCACCAAAATTTTAAGATTAATGGACAAAAATGAGTTGACACGGTACACTTGCTACACAAATTAGTAGAACCTCAATCAAGACAGCCACCACAAGCTCACTCCTGAGCCTGCACTTGTTTTGCAAAGGTCCGGGGAACAAACTACACACAACCGCGCATGTTAAACCCACTGCCTTCGAAGAACTGTTTCCATGCCGTAACTGGGACAGCTTCTTGAATTCTAAAGCGACCCCCATCGGACAATCTTTCGTTCACAAACTGTTTCCACGCCTTAACTGCAGCAGCTTCCTGAATCTTAAAACGCCCTTCAATCGATGATCTCTTATTCATGAACTCTTTCCAGGCCTTGACTGGACCAGTTTCTTGAATGTTAAAGGTACCTTCATCAAGCAACTGACCATTCATGAACAAGCCTCTGGCGGCAAATCCCATAAACTCGGATGGGTTTACAAAATTACGAACTCTGGACATAATACCACCATCATAACTGAAGCCCATCCTAAGTGTTTGATGAGAGGATTCGGGCTTCTGGGATTGTTTGAGGGATTCCTTCTGCTGGCTTGGAAATCTTTGTTTAACAATCTGGGAGGTGTCCCCACCAGTTGACATAACATTTTCCATGCCGAATGCTTCCCAGTCAACTTGCTGCCAAATACCATATTCATGTCCTTTGTCATGCGTATGGTACTGCTCGACTTCAAATTGATGTTCCAAAGCTAATCTCTCAGCTTGAAGTTTTAGCTCTTGGAGGCGATTACCTATCCTTGATGACACAGCATCATAAAGAGTTCCTCTGTTCGCATCTTGGGTATTATCCTTGGAGACGAGTAGATCTTCAAGATAGATAGGGTCACCAACTACCACTGTAACCTGAAAGAATTTCCAATAAAAAAAATATAGCACATAAGCGCAAAAGGAGGAGCTTCATTTAGAACAAGGGGCAATTATGATATGCTACAGAAAGATTAATTGCAATTAATTGTGCATTAAGATTGCAAACTGATTGATTATAAATGATGATCTACCTGTTTCCCAACTATTGGGAGAGCTTCATTCAGAACAAGGGCAAGTTATGATAGGATACAGAAAGATTAATTACAATTAATCGTGCACTAAGATTGCATAATGATTGATTATAAATGATGATCTACCTGTTTCCCGACTTTTGGGAATTTTGTTCCTACGGGCATGATTTCTTGCATTCCTGTGTGGACAAAGGGGATGACTATCGGGATGCTGTCTGCATCCATCACCAGCCTGGAAGATCCATAATGAATATGATCATGCATCACTACAAAATCCAGTAAAGCTAAAAAAACACTGATAAAAGGAAAATCACCTAGGATGAACAGGTGCCACTACGTAAATTTGACGATGATCCATAGGCAAATGGTTGGAAATCATAGCTACGAGTAGCAAACCATATTGATACATTACCAACATCATAACTTGGATTGGAGTTATTCACATGCCCTATTGTATCACGAAACCGTTTTATAAAAATCAATTCTTGGATTGTTCTCGTGCAATGAATATATATGCACTCATACCAGGCCTTACTCAGGGTGTTTTAATGGAAGCATGCACATGTACATGCATTTTTCATTCATCAAAGGCTGTGTATAGGTGTCTGCATTTACTCATCCTACTATTTCTTTTGCATTCGTAGCAAAAACCAAAACTGACCATGGTTCCTTGAATGTGAAGCTGACGGTTCATCACGGGTGCATAACTTCAAGAATGTATGATAACTTTTTTTTACTCACCAATTCAATATAACTGAACTTTGGAGCTTGTCCACTTCTTCACCCACCTCTAAATTATTTAGACTATGACATATTTTGCGTGGTTCCTTAGTCGGACAAAAGACTGATTTACTGAATCTCTTTCCATACTAGCATAAATTGAAACCGAAGATCCGGACTTACTTCTATTTGCCTGAAAGTATTCATGAAATATTGAAACGGACTAATTCGGCATGTTAATAAATAACAGCTTTTATGTCCCTTGATAGGCATTCAAGGGATCTTCCTAGTTCCAACAATTCATTGTGAAAAATGGAATTATGGAAGCAATAGCTCAATCTTATTGGTCTAATATACACATCAATACCATGCCTAACAGAAAAGGAAAATGAAAAACAAAGCTCACTCATATATAAGGATGGAAAAATAATTTAGCAGGATATTATCAGCTCAAGGTTTGAAACTGCTAATAATGGGTTGATTAGGGGCTTTGCTAATTTGATATCACTAGAATGGTAGAGGTAACACCGTTATTTCAAAATGATTCAAACCGGCCATGAAATTTTGAGTTAATATTTGGGTCTATAGAAATATTCAGCGTTTAAGCTCAAATTACAGTTTTACTTTCCCACTTACCTTCCAACCCCTCTCTTGGAAGAACCGATGGTTTTCCCACCATCCCTAGAACGACTTCCCTCGGGGAATATATGAACCCACCCACCATTATTTAGCTTGCACAGAGCCATGTCCATTCCCTGAGTACAAATAAACACAATGTACAAATTACATGAGGCTTTAAAAATACAAATATAAAGAAAAATAAAAATTATCATATCAGGAAAGAAAGTCGCACAAGAATGAGAATGCATATGTAAAGAGTCAAGAGACTCTGGCAATAAAACATGTCTGCTCCTTATCTCAAATACTCAAAAGTCTTCTGTATGTTGAAATAAGATAAAGCAAAATCAACCCAAGACTGATCTACAGAAAAAAGACAGACAAGAATTTACACAACACATATTACTGCCTGGTGCAAGAGAATATATTTATATTAGGATGCTCATGTAGAAGTCAAAAAAGTATCTCCACATTTACACATGCAATTGTTGACATTAAGAAAATCAGCAGAAATACGAAAGTCTTCAAAAGAATACATAAAGAGTTAGACATGATGTATAGCCTTAGAAAGCATCGGAGTTGTTTAAGAAAGAACTCTCTGAAAGTGATTTGATACCTTCTGATAAATGCCATCACCACGAGAAACAGGTAAAACTTTGACACATCGGAAGAATGCGGATAGCACCGGATTGCTGAAACAGCGATCAGTTGCACAAAGTGTCCATCTCAAATTGTGGGCATCTAGCATAATGTTTGGTGGAAGCAATGAAGCGACCACAAACGGATCATCTATAGCAGCTACATGATTGCTTATCTGCAATGAGGTGGAAGACAATGATTAATTGACCCATACAACTATGCGCTTCATAGCTAAATATCACGAAAATTAACAAAACTAAGGGATAAGAACCACCACAAGAACAGTGAGTTCTACTAAACTGCAACAAAATGGACGTCAAAATTGAACTGAAATA